AACTGCTGTTACACTGTGGCATTGCCCGGTCTGATTCTTCATGATAGGTGCTCACTTTTTAAATTTTTCCAACAAACGCAGAGCTTACGTGAGGTACTGAGAGAAGCCTCACAGTCAGGTGGTGGTTCCGCATCGCAGCTCTGCGCTGGTGTCCTCGCTGGGTGTGCGGAATCCTTCCTGTTTTCTCTGGATGCATCTGGCCTTTCTGATCCGCTCCCCTCTCGACCACGTCGGCCATCCTCCTGGCCGTCTCTGTGCGCTGTCCGCACCGCTCGCCCACGTCGGCCATCCTCCTGGCCGTCTCTGTGCGCTGTCCGCACCGCTCGACCGCGTCGGCCATCCTCCTGGCCGTCTCTGTGCGCTGTCACACCGCTCGACCACGTCGCCACTCGGCCGTCTCTGGCGCTGTCCGCACCCTCGACCGGTCGGCATCCTCCTGGCCGTGTCTGTGCGCTGTCCACACCGCTCGACCACGTCGGCCATCCTCCTGGCCGTCTCTGTGCGCTGTCCGCACCGCTCGACCACGTCGGCCACCCTCCTGGCCGTCTCTGTGCGCTGTCCGCACCGCTCGACCACGTCGGCCATCCTCCTGGCCGTCTCTGTGCGCTGTCCACACCGCTCGACCACGTCGGCCACCCTCCTGGCCGTGTCTGTGCGCTGTCCGCACCGCTCGACCACGTCGGCCATCCTCCTGGCCGTCTCTGTGCGCTGTCCGCACCGCTCGCCCACGTCGGCCATCCTCCTGACCGTCTCTGTGCGCTGTCCGCACCGCTCGCCCACGTCGGCCATCCTCCTGGCCGTGTCTGTGCGCTGTCCGCACCGCTCGCCCACGTCGGCCATCCTCCTGGCCGTCTCTGTGCGCTGTCTGCCCTGCTCGACCACGTCGGCCATCCTCCTGGCCGTCTCTGTGCGCTGTCCGCACCGCTCGCCCACGTCGGCCATCCTCCTGGCCGTCTCTGTGCGCTGTCCGCACTGGCTCGCCTGCTTTTCCAGTGATTCTTCTGTATGCAGACCTCATAAAACTTATAATCATTGCTACTTAAGTACGCTCTTTAGGGTAATTGATCATCCAGAACTTCTGTGACCCAACACGCTTGTTGTCCTCCCACTCTCTCTGCTCTGCCCCTTTATTTCATTTTCCTTTGCCCTTAAATTTTTATCTCTAAAGACCTTTGACCTCTTTGCCCAGCCTATCACTTCCTTCCAGACATTTCCATCTTGGATGTTTCACCGTCATCCCAGACTCACAAGCCCCAAATCGAAGTCATCTTCCTCGTTCCCAGTGTGTCTCCTCTCACTTCCCTGTTTCTCTTGGTGACACCGCTGTTCTCCCTGTGACCGGGGATCCACCACACCTTAGACCTCGCCGTCTCTTTTTCTTCCTGGGTTTTCATGGCTCTGCCTGTTTCTCATCCTCACCCTTGCTTGGCTTCTGATCTGCCTCTCCCCTGGTCTGTCTGCCTCCAGACTCTCCCCTGTTGGATCCATTATGCCAAGGGTGTCAGGACAGCCTTCCGAAAGGACCTTCTGAGCCAGCAGGGCGTATCTCAGCTTGGCATTCGCCCTGGGCCCTCTTACACCTTTTTGTGTATCCGGAGTGCCCGCCTTTCCTCCACCCTGCGTACACACTGGGCTTGTTCCCACCTCTGAATCTCTGCACGGCTCCTAGCCTGCCTGTCCCCAACCCTTCCCCTGGCCCTTCTGTCTGCGTTCTGTTCATAGTGAGAGGTCACAGAAGAGCCTTTCCGATGGCCCCAGCCACATCACCGCCTCGAACCTTCCTTTTCTGGGAGAGTAGGCGACATCCTGGGAAACAGGAAGGGACATTCACCTTTGTCCATTCTTTTGTTCTTGAATTTTATGGTGTGTATGTATGTATGATTCAGTAAAATAATTTTCAGCAAATATACCTAAAAACCACAAGCTATGACTCTGTATCATGCCTCAGTTTCCATGAGCATGTGCGTTGGTTTCCCCGGCTCCTAGCCCTGTGCGGTCAGTACCTGTGGGAGCTTAGTTGAGAGCTGGGTGTGAAATCATGGCTGGAAGGGTGTGGGTGGCAGGAAGGAGGCGTGACAGATTAGAGGCAGCCTCCTCTTCCTCAGTAATTTCAAAACCGAACGGGAAAGGACCTCTCTGCCTTTTTAGAGATTCCTAAGATTGGAGGAAGTGTGCCCTGCTCCAGCCGGCTCCAGAGTTTCAATCTGACATGAAGAGTTCTTCCTGGCTCGGATTTTATGTGGAGAAAATCCTAAGGACTCATGGGAACACATTAGAACTAATCACTGAGTTCAGTCAAGGTGCAGGATATAAAGTTAACATATAAAGCTCTGTCATGTTTTTTACACACTAACAGTGAATTTTCTGAAAAAGAAAATCCCATTTATGATAGTATCAAAAAGTAAAACACTTAGGAATCCATTTATTTTCACCAGGAAGACAAAAGATCTCTACTCTGAAAACTGTAAGACACGGTTAAAAGAAATTGAAGAATACACACGTAAATGGAAAGTTGTCTTGTGTTCATGGATTGGAAGAATTAAATTTGTTAATATGTCAGTACTTCCAGAAGCCACCTATAGATTCAGTGCAGTCCCTATCAGAATTCCCTACAGAAAAAAAAAAATCTAAAGTTTGCAAGGAACCACAAAAGGCTCCTAATAGCCAAAGCAATCCTGAGAAAGGAGAGCAAAGCAGGAGACATTATACTGTCTGATTCAAGCTGTACCTCAAAGCTATAGTAATCAAACAGTATGGTACTGGCATAAAAACAGATAAATAGACCCGTGGAACAGAATTGAGGGCCCAGAATTGAGGGCCCAGAAATAAACCCAATATGGTCAGCTAACATATGGCCAGGGAGCCAAGAATGCTCAGTGCAGAAAAGACCGTCTCTTCCATAAACAGAGCTAGGAAAATTGGATATTCACAGTAAAAGTACGAAACCAGACTCCTATCTTAAGTACACCGCTCACAAAAATGAACTGAAGTGGGTTAAAGAGTTAAATGTAGACCTGAGAGCATGACACTCCTAGAAGAAAACAGGGGAGAAGCCCCTTGATGTGGGTCTTGGTAATGATTTTTTGGAAATCACACTTAAAACACAAGTAACAAAATAAAACAATACATTAAGTGGGAGACTACATCAATCTGAAAAGCTTCTGCACAGCAAAAGAAACCATCATGAAGATGTAAAGAAAGACAACACAGAATGGGGAGAACTATTTTCAAACTATATATATTTGATAGAGTTAATATTCAAAACATATAAAGAATTCATACGACTCAATAGCAAAAACAAATCTAATAAATGGGCGATGGACCTGCAAAGCCTTTTTTTCAATAAAGATGTATGAATGGCCAACAGATACGTGAAAAGATGCTCAGTATCACTAGTCATTAGGGAATTGAAAATTAAAACCACAGTGGGTTAGCACCTCATGCCTATTGGAATAACCATCAACAAAGAGACAAGGGATAACAAATACTGACCTAACTGGAGAAGAGGGAACACTTGTGCACTGTTGGTGGGATTGAAGTTGGTACAGCCACTGTGAAAAGTAGTATGTAGTTTTTTAAAAAAATTAAAAATAGAACTACCATATGATCCAGCAATTTCACTTCTAGGTACATATCCAAAAGAAATGAAAAACTAAGGAAGGTATCTGCCCGTCCATGTTCACAGCGGTATTATTTACAGTAGCCATGACATGGAAACAACCTTGGTGTCCATCGAAGGGTGGATGGATAAAGAAGTTGTGTGTGTGTGTGTGTATAACAGCATTATATTTAGCCATTTAAAAAAAACAAAAACAAAAACAAAACACACAAGGGTCTGGCCAGTGTGTCTCAGTGGATTGAATGTCATCCCATGGACTGAGAGTTCCTGGTTCGATTCCCAGTCAGGGCACATGCCTGGGTTGCAGGCTCGATCCCCAATGTGCAGGAGGCAGCTGATATAGATGTCTCTCTTTTTACATCAATGTTTCTATCTGTCTCCTTTCCTCTCCCTCTAAAAAAGAATCAATAAAAACATATTCTAAAAAACAAAATGCAAGGAAATCCCACTGTTTGTGACAAGGATGGCCCTTGAGGGCACTGTACTGAGTGAAACAAGGCAGGCAGAGAAAGACAAACACCGCGTGATTTCACTTACGTGTAGAATGTTAAACCAGCAAATGCAGCGGACCGAACTCAGAGAGGGCGATCAGACAGGTGCCTACCGGGGGCGGGGGAAGGTGGTCGGAAGGCACACCTCCGCGAAGGTGAAGCAGGGCTGGGATGAAACGGACCGGGTACAGACGGAGGCCAACACTGGCGAATGCGGGGAAGTTGTTAAGAGAGGAGGTGCTCCAAGTTCTCATCGCAAGGAGAAATGTGTCCTTTTTGTTGCATCTCTCTGAGATGAGGGATGTTAACTAAACCTAGTGTGAGGATTTCACAGTGTATGTGAATGAGACCTTTGTGCTGCGCACTTGAACCTGCTGCGGTGATACAGGTCAGCGACCCCTCACAGAAATAAATGCTAGAGATTGGAGGGGCCGTTCTGCAGTCTGGGGACAGATACCCGTGTAGCTCTGCCCAGATGACAAAACCAGAGCATGTGCATTCGGCTGGGAGGGAGCCGAGCTCCTGTCTGGAGCCATTCCTGTCTTCAGTGGGAGGTTTCCTCTCAGAGCCTGGGGTTAACCTCCGCCCCACCTCCCCCTGCCCAGCTCTGGCCACAGAAATGCTTCCTTCCCTGCATCTCCTGATGCCCCGGGCAGGAGCCGGCCTGTACGCTCACCGCCCCATCCAGGCCGCGCTCCCCTCAGGGTCCATGTCGGGGAGAGGGTCATTGGAGATTAAAGGCAGGGATGTTTCGAGACCAGGAAGCATGTGACTTGCTTGATGCGTCTTTGACGGAGCCCTTTAACAGGACAAGTAGTGCTGAGGAGGTGCTGCTGTTTCTGGGCCCCTCCTGCTGGTGGTAAAACTTACCTCTTCTGTTTCTCTTGCAGAGCATGATTGAGAAGGGAGGATAAAATCAACTTTACAACAAGCAAAGCTCCTTCAACGTTAATTCCAGAGGTGGAACGTTTTTCCCTAGTAAGAAAGCAACCTATTTAAAGAGAGAAGACGCCACAGAGAAGCACATCGCAGTTTGGCCAACGATCTGCAAAGCCAAGGCCCAGGCCAGCCATCAGCCGAGAAAGACCCGCTGCCTGCCAGACCCCATCCGTGAGGCAGGCGCAGGGCAGCCCCTCGCCTTTTGTGCGTTCTAGTCAGCTTTCTCTCCTCACCGAGCCATCCTGTGGTGAACCTCCACTCCAGCAGAGCGCGTGGGCTGGGATCGGGTGCGGGGATCCGAGTGGGGGTGGGCAGAGCACCCCCCGGCGGCGGCAGTGCTGGGCAGAATCGCCCAGACTGCGGCGTGTTGGGTTTCGTTTCCCCCCTCGACTGGGAGCTGCTCCTGTTACCTTATTGCGATCATGTAAAGAAGACAAAACGGAGAGAAAGGCCCCCTTTTACTGGAATAATGTTTGTGATTACATGTGAAATAAGGCATTTTTTATCACAAAAGGCAGCCTTGGCTTGTATAACTGCTTCTCTGTTATGAATACTGACACCTTGACTTCACTCACTATCAATAATAAATATATTTTCTGACGAAGACTGGCACTGTAGCCGGGGCCGCGTGTGTTTCTCTCCCTGGGTTGGGCGGTCGTGCTCACGGGAGTCGAGTCGATCATGTTGGAGTCTGCGTCTGTGCTGTACCTTTCCTGGGGAAGGGGCCGGCTCCGCGCAGAGCCCCAGCCCGGCCCGCGCCCCCAGAACGTGCCCCTCGGCGGGGGCGGGGCGGGGCGGGGCGGGGCAGCGAGGCCTCCACAGACTGCTCCACCTTCCTTTCTTTGGGGTGACTTGAGCCATGCTGCCTCCGGCAAGAATGAGCTTAAATAACCTTGGTTACGAACTTACGATTCTGCAATTTATGAAAGGGTTATTTTTTAAAAGTCAACCAACCGTGAGTGTTTTCCCTCTTTCCAGTTTCATTAAAACTTGCTAATTATGCCCTGGCCGGTTTGGCTCAGCGGTTAGAGCGTCGGTTCCCGCTAAGGGCACGTACCTCGGTTGCAGTTTGTCCCCAGCCCTGGTCGGTGGTGCCGGTGGCAGCCACTCGATGTGTCCCTTCACGTCGATGTTTCTCTCTCTCTGTTCCTCTCTCTCCCTCCCGCTCTACCTGAACAAAAAATGGAAAAATGTCCGCGGGTGAGGATAAAAAAAAAAAAAAAAAACTTGCTAATTATAACTCGCTTTATTTTTAACCAGAGGATAGGTAACTCAGCCCTAGGTTTTGAAAAGCTGGAAATGAGCATTCACCCTGAGCTACGGAGAAAGGCTTTCCAGGACTCGAGGGAGGAGGAGATGCCCAGGCTTTGTGATGTCGGCGAAATCTTCTGTCATGTAGATTTTTATTTTGTTACAGAGAGAAATACTTTACATTTGTTTCTTTATTAACTTTAGAGAGAGGGAAAGAGAGAAGCATCAATGAGAGAGAACATTGATTGGCCGCCTCCTGCATGCCCCCCACTGGGGATCGGGCCCACAACCTGGGCATGTGCCCTGACTGGGAATCGAACCGGCATCCTCTTGGTGCGTGGGTCAGTGCTCAACCACTGAGCCACACTGGCCAGGCAGAGAGAAATACTTTAGCAAAATAATTAAGAATATAGGCTCTGGAGTTGGTTGTTCAGATTGTGACCCCTCCTTCCCCACATGGGACCTAATCAAACCACCTCACCATACTAGCCCCTGATTTCTCCACTATTGAAGGGGTTGGGGTGGAAGAACTTTCTGTGTAGACTTACATTTGGTTGGGGCCAGGATGTGTTGGTTTGTGTGATTATTCAGTAAACTGATTTGGAGTTGGGCACATGAAGAGAATATCTACGTGCCCAAACACCTCTTCGAGAAAGTCGAAATGGACATAGCTTATGTTGGGAAAATTTCAACCAACCTCTCTGTACACGGAAGTATGGCCTCTTTTATCTAAATCCTTCAGTTGGCTATTTGAAGGGCATCTCAAGGACACCTGTGGATACACCCAAGGACCTGGTGTTGATTCTGAGTTTGTTGACTCTCCCGCCATAACTGCTAAGAGGCTCTGTGACCACTGGTTAACGAAGTGTTGAGGTTTTGGTTAATGGTACAAAATAAGTTGGGTTTGTATAAGTGTGAAGGAAGGACGCATTGGTGACTGGAGAAGCAGCACAGTGGGGCGTTGTCGGGGTGGCACCCAGGTAGTAGGTACACACAAACAAACGTTTACATGGTGACTTGTGACTCAGCTAACTCACGCATCCCCTCCTGTCCTGCGTTTGCAGTTTAGAGCCAATACTTGGCACATCCCAGGCTGTCAGTCTTGTGACTGGCAGAGAAATGCACCACTGGAGTCGGGCAGTTAAAGCTGGTTAGATCCATGAGATCGGGAAGGGGGAGGGAGGTGTCAGGACATCTCCCAGCGCTGGTTATTAATCTGTCACCCTGATACACGTGGTGGGTGCAAGGGAGAAAGAAGGCACTTTGTGGGAAATGATAAGGTCCCTTTTCTGTACCATTGGAGACCTCCCTGTTGACCACAACTCTGTCCAGGTCACTGTTCACTTGAGGAACACTGCTTGGGAAGAATGTTGTGCCTTTTGAGTGGGAGTCACACGTTCCAGTCAGTTTCTCCCTTACACAGAACACACCTTGAACCACAGTGGTTTGGCTGGAAGCCAGAGACGAGTCAAGTATCTTGCAAGCTGGTCAGGTGTTGCCACACTAAGCAGATGTGTGGTGAACTAGAAGACAGCTGGCGCAACCAGCACAAAGTCCTCTCTCTGAAGGTAACGCCAACGTGATGGTTTAGAAAAGTATCGACTCGTCCTCATTGGTAGCAGCTGTGGACAGCTGCGAGCCTAACGCTGTGGCCTGCTGGTCTACCAACAAGATGCCCCCACAGCAGCTGTAAGCGGTGCTTTGCTTAGAACCGAACCAGCCCCAGACGTCCTGCGTTTCCCGGTGGCTCTTAGTCCGGTAACTTCCAGCCCACAGGTGTAATTGCTTTTGCCGGAAACCCACAGGACAGTTCCCTCTCCCTGGTTTCAATCGTAGGAGCTCTCTCCAGATTTAAGATTGAGAGCAGCTGAACCATTGAAAGGGTAGCAGTAGTTTCCAGGGATTATTCTGTTTTGAGTTAATATATCTGAAAAGCAAATACTTTGAGAGAGTGAGTTAGTGTGGGTTCATTCATTCCGTCACTGCTCCCCTACACCTTCCAGTTTTCATCTGTTTCTCCCCCCCTCAGTCGCTCCCTCCCATCTGCACCTCCTCCTCCTGCCTCTTCTGGGGGTTTCGACCTTCCTCACCCTCTCTGCCTTTCAAGGCCACCTCCTGAGAGGGTGTAGGGTGCAAAGGCCGTGGTCTGAGGCGCTCAGCCCTGGGCTCTTGCTCTGGTCTCTGCTGCTGTTGGCTCGGGACAGGTCGCTCCCTCATGTTCTCTACTGCTCACGGGCTGCTCGGTTCTCCGTTGTCACCAGCGTCCGAAGCCGTAAAACCAGTTACAGATTTACAACTTCTTATCTTTCATGGTTTCTTATATTTGCAGTTCCTAATTGACAAACCAGGTATATGGAATTTTTAAAATTTTCTGGGAAAAATACCTAAGTTTGTACTTAGTTCTCTGTAGTCTTTGTATTTTTCCAATAGTATATGATTCTCATTAGAAAAATGTGACTCTGGCCAGTTTGGCTCAACAGTTAGAACATTGGCCCATGGACTGAAGGGTCAGGGGTTCGATTTTGGCCAAGGGCATGTACCTTGGTTGCAGGTTTGATCCTGGCCCCAGTCAGGGTCATTTGGGAAACAACCACTCAATGTGTCCCTCTTGCATTGACGTTTTTCTCTCTCTCTCTCCTCCACTTCCCCGCCCTCCTTTCCACTCTAAAATCAATGGGGAAAAAATCCTCGGTGAGGATTAACAAAAAGAAAAAAAAAAATTATATATATCCTGTCACTTGCCCCAGGGATTTACTCAGTGCAGGGCTGAGTCCATTATGAAACGTCTTCCTAGGACGTGTAGCCAGTTTGTGTCAATGAGACCCACAGTTTAGAACACCCCCAGAACAGGAGACCATGGTGCTGATGCTCTGTTACCTGCGGCAGTCTGGACAAGACGTGCTGGTTAGGTCCACGCTTACTTATTTATTTTTTTAATCCTCACCGGAGGATATTTAATCCCTCACCGGAGGGAGAGAGAGAAACATCCAGAGAGAGACACATCAACTGGCTGCCTCAGGCATGACCCGACCAGGTCCGGGGATGAACCACAACTGAGGTACGTGCCCTTGACTGGAATCGAACCCGAGACTTTATGGTCTGCAGGCCAATGCTCTAACCACTGATCCAAACCAGCCAAGGCAGTCCATGCTTATTTTTTATTTTATTTTATTTTTCTAAATCCTCACCCTTTGCATTTATCTTCAGATAGAACGGGAGGGAGAGAGGGGGAAAGAGAGAGAGAGAAACATTGATGTGAGAGAGACACATCGAGTGGTTGCCACCCACACAACGCCAACTGGGGCTGGGGACAAACTGCAACTGAGGTGCGTGCCCTCAGCGGGAACAGAACCCAGAACTCTCTGGGCCGTGGGTCGACGCTCTAACCTCTGAGCCAAACCGGCCAGGGCCATGCTTATTTTAAATGTATTATAGACATTGTCTCAGCCTCTTCTCCCCCACGGGGCCCTTAAATGCAAAATGTTGCAGGTACCAGTTTTTAACTCTCTCCTCCCTTGACCCACTTAATGTCAGAAGTGCCAACAATGACAGAAACAATGTAACAGTAATTAAGAGGAGGCGATAGAGACGGACTACCATCCAGTAAGTGTAACGCTGGCTTGGTGATCAGGCTCCATGGAGCGCTGGACATTATTCCCATAAACTTTAGTGTCCAGCCTGTCATTTCAAATCCACTGTAACTTGAGATGATTCCAGTGTAGATGGTCTAGAGCTATATCCATTTTATCATCAGCCCCAGGCTGCTCATGACCCAGGGAGATGGGAGTAGCCGGTGATTTTTCAGGGTCAGTGAAACGGGGAACTTGGGGCCTCCCTTGTGTGCCAAAGAGATGGAGGCACGCCCGGTGTGCCTTGGGGAGCCCAGCCCGCTGCTCTGGCCCTCCTCTGCGAGCGATGCTGGTTCAAACTGATCGGCCCTAAAGGCAAAGTAGATGTGTTTCCCCACATCCAGAGTGAGGGTCACCTCCCTCCTCGGACAAGGTCCCTTCCACTAAGAATTCTGGCCAAAGGATTAGACAGGTTCAGGAACTTTCCATCCATTACCTTCTAAAACCCAGAGTCATTGGCACATAGTTTGGGAAGAAAACCACCGCCAACCACCTAATTCATTTGACATCTAGGTGATGTTTAAGGATGAAATTTTCTATTTCATGTCGTGTGCGCTCTCCTGGTGCCGCCAGCCTCAATATTGCTGGCAGACCCCTGGAATTGGGAGACCGCAGAAGTCACCGTCCGGCTCACAAGCGTCTTCTACTTTCCCTGTCACCTGTCTTGAGCCTTCCAAAGAGACCCACAGCCTTCTGCAGACCACGATAATATGCCCTGCCTTTGAGG